AATGCCTAGTATGTCAATATTTATGTGTTCCATTTCTTTCTTAACAATATCTAATTTTCACTACAGTTTGTTAGTTTTCTTTGCGCTTTAGAAGCTGCTGTTTTATTTCCAGTTACGATGGTCCCCTTTATTTTGAAATCGACTTATTTTCTGGCTACAAATTCTTTTACTGTATATTCTCTCTTTTTGCTTTGTACTTTCCTGCATTTATAGAGTGATACCTGTGGTTCCCTATTTTTAGTTTTATATCACCTACTTACTTTGAAGTTGTTTGAACCTACCCACTAGTGATTCAGATGAAAAATTGCCAAACTACTTCTTTAAAAATTACAGGCAATCATATTATGCAGTTGAACTCTCTAACACATGGGGTTGCTGTGAGTCACAAACTACTCAGTGGTAACAGGCTTAGGGTTTGGATGGGGTTTTTTTCTTACATCTGAGATAATATGCCTTACATGTGAGATTGACCCCTCCAGAAAATAATCATTAAACAAAGGGGCACTGGAAATGGCAAGGAAACCGATGTATTAGAGAATCTTTTAGATAATCCTTTCATTTACTGTGCAAGTACTATAAAGTTGTAATGTAAAACGTGCCTTCTAGTTTCAGTTTCTGAGGAAAAAAAATAAAGGTATATGTTTTCCATATTGATTTGAATGTTTAAACTGGTTGTTACCTGTAAACAAAGCTTGGCTAATTTTTCACCTGATAAGATTTTTTTCTTTATCAGTTAGTTATGTAATGAATGATTATCACATATATTTAACTGACCTTAAAATTAATAAATGTGATACTGCTTGATGCTTTCCGTTTTTAAATATTTCTTACTTATGTTGTTTTGAAGCTTCTTCTCAGCCTGTTGATAACCATGTTAGCCCATCTTCCTACTTGAGCCAAACACCAGCATCGCCCTCCAGATACTCCCCAGTTTCAAAAGCAATGCTTGGAGATGATGAAATCACAAGGTAACTAAACTACTTTCATCCTTACAGGGCGTGCATTGTTACATACGGAGTTAGAATCAGGCACAGAAGGTCGTTTTTGGAATAAAAACTTATATTAGTGGATGATGAATTTAAACCTTAATTTTTTACTCCCACTGTAGGAAAAGTCTGACGTTTAAATATATTTTATATATGAAATAAATTACTGCTTTAAATTGTGTGGGAGGAGGTTGCCCATCTTTCTCCCACAGAACAGCTAGTGAATTCAAACCACATGTCTTAGAGTTGGCAGCACAACTTCTTACAACTTGGCCAGCAGAACTCCCTAAGCTTGGTGTTGGTGTTATTATTACTGTTGTTCAGTGCCATCGAGTCAGGTATGACTCATAGCGACCCATGAACAATAGATATAAGTCTTACCCAATCCTGTGCCATCCTCATCATCTCTGATGTGCTTGACCCATTGTTACAAGTCATTGTGTCAATTCATGTTGTTGTGGGTCTTTCTTTTGCTGACCCTCAGTCTTCAAGTATGTCCTTCTTTATGGATTGGCTCCTCTTAACGTGCTCATAATTTGTGAGATGAAGCTTCATCATCCTTGCCTCCAAGGAGCACCGTTTATGTATTTTCTCCAACATTATTTAGTAATTCTTTTGGCTGTCCATTCAGTACTCTTCAAACATCATGATTCAGAGGCATTGATTGTTCTGTTGTCTCTAAACAGTGTCCAACTTTCAGGTGCATTACAAGAAATTGAAAGGATTTATGGCTTGAAGCAGATGCACCTTAGTCTTTAAACTTACATCATTGCTTTAACATCTTAGTGAGTTCCAGAACAACAGATTTACCCAATGCAGTACATCTTTTCATTTCTTGGCTGCTGGTGCTGACAGTATTGATTGTAGCTACAAGTAAGATAAAATCATTAACAACGTAAGTCTTTTTTCCACCTATCATGAAGTTGCCTCTATGACCCAGTAGTGAAGATTCTTTTGTTCTTCATGTTGAGGCATAATCCATATTGAGAGGTCGAGTCCTTGATCATCTGCCACAAGTGTTTCAAATCCTCTTTGCTTTCAGCAAGCAAGATTGTGTTAATACGCTTACAGGTTGTTGAGTTGTTGTCAGTCCTGATGCCACACTCTTCTTCAAAAAGTCTAGCCTCTTGAATGATTTGCTTGGTATATAAGTTGAAATAGGTATAGAAAAAAGGTACAGCCCTGATGCACACCTTTCTTGTTAAACCATGCAGTATTCTGCTGCTTGGTTCAGAGAGTAGCTTCTTGGTCTAAGAATAGGTTTCACATGAGTACGGTTAAGTGTTTTGGAATCCCATTCTTCTCAAAGTAAGCCATAATTTGTTAGGATCCACACTTTGCATAGTCAATAAAACAAATAAACATCCTTCTGCTATGCTCTGCTTTCAGTCAAGTTCTTCTGACATCAGCAGTCGTATTCCTGGTGCCACAGCCTCTTCTCAATGTTGTTGTTGTTATGTGCTTTTGAGTCACCTTCAACTCGTAGCGACCCTATGTATAACAGCCCTAAGCCGTGCTCTATGCTGTGCGAATCTTACAATCTCTGACACACCTACCCCCATTACCCGTGCCACTGAATCAATCCATCTCATCAAGAGTCTTCCTCTTTTGTGCTGTCCCTCCACCCTCCCAAGCATGACATCCCTCCAAGGACTGGTCCCTCCTTGCAACATGTTCAAAGTATGTCAGACAAAGCTTCAGAATCCTTGCCTTCGAGGAACAGCAATGTAGCACCCCTAATGCTCTAATCTTCTCTTGGTTGGTCTCACCTTCCTGATTTTGATAGGTTCGAAACAACAGAGTGGTTCTTTTCATTCCTTTGTTTGATGGAAGAGGTGTAGGGCACAAATGCTTTTGTCTGTCTTAAGATCAGTCTTGGAACATAAGAGTAAAATTCCACTTTCCCACATGCCTAAATGAAGCTACAGCGTTACCCTTTATCAGAAGAGAATCATGGCCATCTATTAGGAACTGTAGACATGCATACTTTGCCTAAAATAAAGGGATATTTGCTTTTACAAAATCTAGGATAAAGTTGGGCCCTGACTATTTCATAGATGATAAAATGCGTAATATATAAGTGTATATATTTCTTGAGAAGACTGTGAGTTAGAATTTGTGGATAAATGAGTTCTAGATTTTTGTGTGTTTGATATCTAATCCTCATTTCTATATTTGAAAGACTATTTCTTTATATATGCATACATGTACGTGTGTGTGTGTGTGTGTGTGTGTGTGTGTGTGTGTGTGTGTGTAGTTTAATAATGTAAAGTCTGTCTTTAGAGTGTTCTTACTGATAGAGCACCAAGTTCCATTTAAAATTTTTAAGGTTTTTAATGTGGAGGGGTTTTTTTTTTTTGTTTTTTAGGGAACCAAGGAAGGTTGTTCTTCATCGTGGCTCAACGGGCCTTGGTTTTAACATTGTAGGGGGTGAAGATGGAGAAGGAATATTTATTTCCTTTATATTGGCTGGAGGACCTGCTGATCTTAGTGGAGAACTAAGAAAAGGAGATCGTATTATATCGGTAGGCTATGTTGATAAACATAATGTTTTTTATTGTTTTAATAATGAACTATTAATAAAAGTGGAATTTAATTTTCACTGTTTCTTTTAGTGATGTTTTGGTCATAGTCTTAACCATTTTACAACTCAGTGTTTTTAGAGAAGATGTTTTTATGATCTTTTTAAAAAATAGTATTTCATTTTAAGGAGTCAAGAATCATATATGTGCTTAAAAGAATATGTTCTATCTACTTGACACTTGTTGTTGAGTACTTTTTGAGTTGAAACCAACTCAGCTAGGATTCGGTGGGTTTTCAAAGGTTCTTTCCCACTAGGCTATTAGATCTCTGATGACAACATCGTGATATATGACAAAAGCATTGGAACGGTCAGATTTTGTCATACTGGGATCCACAGTCAACACCCTTGGCAAAGAACCAAAAGATACATTGTAATGGGAAAATGTTCTGTTAGAGATCTTTCCAAAGTATGGACATTGATACCAGTTGACATATTAAGGTGCTCCTGATTCAGGCTAAGTAGGCTTTTCAGTCACTTGTTATGCACCTGAGAAATGGACAGTGAATAAAGATGACAGAAGAATAATCAGTGCTTTTGTGTTTTGATGTTGGAGTACTGAATATCCCATCAACTGCCAAAAGAACAAACAGATGTCTTAGCAAAAGTGTATTCAGAATGCTCTTTGGAGGTAACGATGGCGAAGCTTCGCCTCACATACTTATGTTAGAAGGGGCTGTTCCTTGAAAAGAGATAACATGCTCTCATCAGCAAGAGAGAGGAAGAACCTCAATGAGATAGACTGACACAGTGACAGCTGCATTGGCTCAAGTATGTCAGAGCTGATGAGGATGGCACAAGATAGGACAAGGTTTAGGTCTTTTATCTCTATATGGTCACTATGAGTCAGACTTAACTTGATGACACATAATAATAACAGCATTTATTGACTGCAAAATTTTCTATGTATCCTTTTCTGAAACTTGTTACTTCCAGTCTTTTTCATTTTTTAAGTTGTTCTGATGTAATGGTGAGTTTAGGAGTTTAACTTTCATCTTAGTTTGTTTTTTCATTGCGTTTTTTTGAAATTATGTTATTAGGTGCCTAAGTTTAGAATTACCTTTTACTAATGGGAAAGTAAACTTTTATACCTATATAACTGTTCACCTAATGGGTAAGGAGTTTGCCACCAACCCTAAAGGCAGGCAGTTCAAACCCACCAGCTTCTCTGAGGAAGAAATTGTCTGATGTTTGCCTATATTGACTTTAGGGAACTCTGGTAGTTACTAACTCCAACACACCAACAAACATCACCCCAGTTACTGTATCAGTCCATCTCTGTGCTGTCCATCCTCCCTTCTGAGCATGATGTCCTTCTCCAAAGACCAGTCTCTCCTGGCCACATGCCCAAAGTAAGTGAGGCAGAGCTTCAAAATCCTAGCCTCCAGACAAAAAAAAACAAAAACACAAAACCCTAGCCTCCAAGGAAAGACTTGGCTTCACCCTCTCCAAGACAGACCTGTTTGTTTTCTTGGCAGTCCATGGTCTGTTCAAGACTCTTATCTAACACTACAACTCAAAGGTATCTATTCTTCTTCTGTCACCCTTAGTCATTGTCAAACTCTTTGAAGCATAATAAGTAATTGAGAAGACCATGGTCTGGATTAGGCACACCTTTGTATCTAGACTGACATCATTGCTCTTTAGCACTCTGGAGAGGTCCATGACAGCAGATTTTCCCAATGCAATTCATCTTTTTTATTTCCTGACTGCTGGTGTTAAGAGTGTTGATTGTGGAACTTAGCAAGCTGTAATTGTTAACCACCTCAATCTCTTCTCAGTCTAATATGGTGCTGCCAACTGGCCCAGTGGTAAGAATCTTTGTCTTCTTGATGTTGAGCTTCAATCCATATTGAAGACTACAGTCCTTTCCCTTTTGCAGCAAGTGCTTCAGGTCCTCCTCAGTTTCAGCAAACAAGGTTGTGTCATCTGCATATCGTAGGTTGTTAATGAGTCTTCCTCCAATCTTGATGCCATACTCCTCCTCATAAAGCCCTGCTTCTCTAATGATCTGTTCTGCATACAGATTGAAAAGGTACAGGGACAGGATGCACTCAAGATGTACTCCTTTCCTGATTTTGAACCATGCAGTGTCTCCTTGCTCTGTTCTGAGGACTGGTTGTTGGTCCAAGTATAGGTTTTGTATAAGCATGATCAGGTGCTCTGAGATTCCCATTTCCCCCAAGGTTAGCCACAATTTATTATGATCTACACAGTCAAATGCCTTCGCATAGTCAATGAAACACAGATAGACATTCTTCTGGTACTCTCTGATTTCTGCCAAGATCCTTCTGACATTGGCAATAATGTCCCTACTGCCACAACCTATTCTAAACCCAGCCTGGTTTTTTGTTTGTTTGTTTTGGGGAGTTTGGTGTTTTGGTTGGGTTGGGGTTTTTTTGTTTTGATTTGTTTTGTTTTTGGTTATTGAGTTATTGAGACTGGCTCAGGACTGGTTCAGAGGGCCGCTGTACATCACAGGTGACTCAATGGCACATGAAAACAGTAACATACCATGACAGGTTTGGAAGCAGGAATGGCATTCCTAAATAACATGCTTCTGGAAACTCTGTGAACTTTAATAAATGTCAATAGTTCTAGAGGGGCTTCAGGCCTTTTGTTCATAGGGACGCTATGACTCATGCTCGACTCAAAGGCAGTCATCAACAACAGTAGCCGTACTGCCAGTTCAAAGATAAATCCGCCAGCTACTCTGTGGTAGAAAGATGGGTAGTCTCCTTTGCAATTTACTACCTCTGAAAACTTGCTATAGGATCATCTATGAGTCTGTTCTAACTGGATGGCACAAAACAACTACATATTAACTTTAGTGGTATTGTTAGGTGGTATCAATTAGAGTAACAACTCTTAGCAAATCTATGAACAACAGATCTGAACCTTGTCCTATCTTATGCTATCCTCCTCATTTCTTACACACTTGAGCCCATTGCTGCATTCTCTGTATCAATTCATCACATCAAGGGTCTTCCTCTCTTTTGCCCACCCTCCTCTTTTCTGTCAGTCTCCAAGGTATAACCTTTCCTAGCAATATGCCCAAAGTATGTAAGATAAAGCTTTGACATCCTTGTCTACAAGGAGCATTCTGGCTACACCTTCTACATGACAATTCTTTGTTGTTTTGGCTATCTATGGCATACAGGACTCCTCTTCAACACCAATTCTTCAGTACCACACTCTTATGTCATCCTTATTCATTGTCCAGCTCTCAGATGCATAGCAAGTGATTGAAAAGACAGTGGCCTGAATCAGGCACACCTTAGGCCTCAAACTGGTATCATTGTTCCTCAGTAATTTGGAGAAGTCCCTTACTCTAGACTTTCCCAGTGCAGTACATATCCTGATCTAACCACTGGTACCAAGGTTGTTGATTGTAGGTCCAAGTAAGATGAAATCATTGAAAGTGTCAGTCTTCTCTCCATCTATCATAAAGTTGCCTATTTGAACTAGTGTGAGAATTATTGTTTCTGTGATGTTGAAATGTCATGTTTGATTTCTGCAGCAAGATCTTGCCACTTTGAACAAACTAGGTTGTCTGCATGATGCAGATTATAAGTCTTCCTCTGATCCTGTGTCCACATTCTTTATAATGTTGAGCTTCTTGAATTATTTGCTCAGCATAGAAATTGATTAGATATGGAGAAAGAATACACCTCAGACTCATACCTTTTCTGATTTTAAACCTTAATTGTGTTCCCTCACTCTGTTTGCACAATTAAGTCTTGTGAGCTTCCCATTCTTTTCAATGTCAGCCACAACTTGTTATGATCCACATAGTCAAATGCTTCTGCATAGTCAATAAAACACTAAATAAATAATAACATAAACATTCTTCTGGTATTCTCTGCTTCCAGCCAGGATCCATCTGACAGGTCTCTTCTAAACCTAGTGAAATTCTGGTAGTTCTCTCTCAATCTACTAAACGTATTCTAGATGTTGTTGCATGATCTTTAGCAATATTTTTATTGTGTGTGAAGAGTAATGATACTGTTCAATGATTTCCACATGCTATTGAATCACCTTTCTTAGGAATGGAAAGGAGAAATTAATCTCTTCCAGTTGGCCAGTAGCTGTCCTCCAAATTTCCTGGCATAAACTGTAGAGTGGGTCCAGGGCTATGTCTGTTAGTTGAAACATATGAGTTGGTGTTGCATTGATTCCTGGGGCCTTATTTGTTGTCAGGGCCTTCAGTGCATCTTGAAATTTTTCCCTCCTGCTCTTCTTCCTTAAATTTTTCCATGTCTACCAGTAATTTCTGATACAATTGACTCTGTATTCCGTCATTCAAGCATTTGCCCACACATCCCTCAGTATTACAGCTCAAGACTTGAATGTCAATTTTCAGTTCTTTGACTTTGAAAAATGCCAGGCAAGTTCTTCCCATTTTATTCTCCAGCTCTAGATCTTGGCACATTCCATTATAATAGTTTGCTTTCTCTTCTCGAACTGCCCTTTGAAATCTTCTGTTGATCTCTTTCACTCCTGCATTTTTCCTCTTTTTTTTTTTCTTCTTTTTTTTTTTTGCTGCTTAGCACTCATCTCATTTTCAGAGTTTCTTCTATCATCCATTTTGGTATTTTCCTCCTTCTCTAGCTTTATAATAACCTTTTACTCTCTTTATTAATTACATCATTGATGTCATCCCGTAACTTAGCTTGTCTTCAGGCAGTAGCATTTAGTGCCTCATACCTATTCTGGAGATGATCTATAAATTTAGGTTTTAGGAACAGTTAATATGATGGCACAGTGGTTAAGCATTTAGTTGCTAGCTGAAAAGTCTGTGGTTTGAACTCACCAGCCACTCTGTAGGGGAAAGATGAGCTACTCTGCTTCCAAAGAGTTTACAACTTGTAGGACCAGATGGGGCAATTCTACTCCATCCTGTAAGGTTAATGTAATTCTGAATTAGTTTGACTACAGTGAGGTTTGATAGCTGTTAATTTTTTTTATTTGTCTTATACATCTCTTTATATTTGTCATTTGTGTATTTTTAATTTTGTGATTATTACCTATATAATTTTAGATTGAAATTTCCTATTCTCCTTGGGGAAACATCCCATTCTAACCACAATGTTTTTATACCCTTAAATTTAGTAATTAATGCCTGTTCCTTAGCAAACTGTTAACCAACCAAGTACAATTTCTTTGTTGGTCATCTTTTTTGTTGTTGTTCATTTCCTCCTCTGTTTCTCAGTGAGCTACAGTAGCATTTTTAATTGGACAGTTATTCCTTGTATGGGATTGTCTTACAGTTTAGTATTTCTCTCCCTCCCATTTTTTTACAAACAAGAACTTTCTTTTCATTTTAAAAAACAAAAACATATGTGAAAATCTTGTTATTTTCATGTGCCATCTAGTCGCCTGAGACTCAGTGACCCTGTATACAACAGCTCTGAACCCTACTCTATCCTAAGCCAGTCTCACTGACTCCAGCACATCTAATTCCATTACCCTAGCTGTCGTGTCAGTCCATCTCCTCCAGGGTCTTCCTCTCCTGCACTGTTCCTCCACCCTTCCAAGCATGATGTTTGTCTCCAAGGACTAGTCCCTCCTGGCAACATGCCCAGACTATGGGAGACGGAGCTTCAAAATCCTGCCTCTAAGGAGAAACTTGTTTTCATCCTCTCCTATATATAGATCTCTTTCTTCTGGTGGTCTATGGGTATGTTCAAGACTCTTCTTCAGCACCACAATTTAAAGGCATCAGTTCTTCTTTTGCCATACTTGGTCATTGTCCAGCTGTCTGATGCATGTAATTACAAAGACCATGGCATGTATCAGGTGCACCTTAGTCTCTAGACTAACCACATTCTCCTCAGCACTCTGAAAGGTCTCTGACAGGATACTTCCCCAATGCAGTCTGTTCTTTGTTTCCTGACTGCCAATGCCAAGAGTGTTGATTGTGGATCCAGGCAAACTATATTTGTTAACAACCACATCTCGTCTTCATCTATCATGGTGCTGCCAGTTGGCTCAGAGTTGAGAATCTTTGTCTTCTTGATGTTAAATGTCAATTCATATTGAAGATTGTAGTCCTTGACCTTCTGCAGCAAATGTGTCAGGTCCTCCTCAGTTTCAACAAGCAATACATGTTGTTGATGAGCCTTCCTCCAGTCCTGAGGCCACACTCCTCATAAAGTTCAGCCTCCCAAATTATCTATTTCACATATAGATTGAATGCGTCCCTCCTGATTTTGAACTTTTCTCTGTTCTGACAACTGCCTACTGGTCAGAGTATAGGTTTCATATAAGCACAATCAAGTTCTGAGATCCCCATTCTTCTCAAGGTTAGCCACAATTTTTTGTGAGATCATACAGTCAAATCTTTGCATAGTCAGTGAAATGCAGATAGACATTCCTCTGGTACTCTTTGCCTTCAGCCAAGATCCATCTGAAATTGGCAATAATGTCTCAAGTGCCACTCCTCTTCTAAACCTGCTTGTATTTCTGGTAGTTCTCTGTCAGTTTACTCTTGCAGTCATTTTTGAATAATCTTCAGAAGGATTTTGTTTGTGTGTGATAATTAGTGATATTGTTCAATAATTTCCACTCTCTGTTGGATCACCTTTTTGCAGGTGGGGGAGGATATGAATAAATATGGATCTCTTCCTGTCAGTTGGCCAGACAGTTGTCCTTCATATTTCTTGGCACAACCTACTGAGCACGTCAAAGGCAGCATCTGTGTGTTGTAATATGTCAGTTGGTATGCCGTCTGTTCCTGGGACCTTGCTTTTTGCCAGTTCCTTCAGAGCAGCTTGAACTTACTCTTTAATCACCATTGCCTCTTGATTATATATTGTTCCATAAAATTCTTTTGTCTCAGCCACTTCTTTTTGGTACAGTGATTCTATATACTCCTTCTATCTTTTAATGCTTCCTGGACCATTTCATATTCTTTCCATCGTATCCTAAAATATTTCAACTCAAAGTTTGAATTTGTTTTACAATTCCTTTACCATAAGAAATGCTGAGCAATTTACTTTGGTGTTTTTTTATGTAACAATACCTTTGAATGAAAACTTGCTCTGCCTTTATTGATATATTTAGTTCATCCTAGCATTTTAGGTTCCCAGCAATTGTGTCTCAGTTGAACATACTTTCGTATGCCATCTACTTTTGTTTTTGGAACTCTAGTGGCATAATCAGTATGGCATTACACTGCTAACCCAAAAATGACATCTTGTTGGTGCTTTAAATACACAAGTAGTTTCAAGAGAGAAAGATGGCGAGTTTCTTCTGTGTGATTTACAGTCTCTCAAAACCCGCTCCAGGGTCATCTGTGAGTCAGTAAGGAGGGACAGGTCCTTGTAGAGGGACATCATGCTTGGTAGGGTGGAGGGACAGTGCAGGAGGGGAAGACCCTCTATGAGGTGGATTGATTCAGTGACGGGGGTAATCAGGATTGGGTGTGTTGGAGTCAGTGCAATTGGCACAGGATAGAGCAATGTTTAGGTCTGTTGTCCATAGGGTTGCTATGAGTTGCAAGAGACTTGACAGCACTTAACAACAATAACTGTAAATAGAAATATCCCAAAATTGATAAACTGGTATATCCATGCAATTATTTTGTTCACTTGACATCAAGCTAAATAATATTTTGTAGTAAATCAAAGCAAGAAAATATTTTAGTAATAAAATTATTGCAACAATATGGTTTTCTTTATTTGTTTATATCTATTCAAAGAACAAGTTACTATGATTTCTTTCTTTTTTTTTTTTTTTCTTTTTCTTTTCGGAGAGGGAAGCGAAGTTACTGTGATTTCTAATCACCATGATTAAATTCTCTCAAATTAAGATTTGGTTTGATTTACAGGTAAACAGTGTTGACCTCAGAGCTGCCAGCCATGAGCAGGCAGCAGCTGCATTGAAAAATGCTGGGCAGGCCGTCACCATCGTTGCACAGTATCGACCTGAAGGTAATAGAAACAATTCCTATTTATGTTTATTCTTTATTTGGTTTTTACATCTCCTCCTTAATAATATTTAATTTTTCAGTTTTTACTTGCTACTTTCTTTTTTGTTCTTGTCTTATTAATCAGCCTACTGTATATCTAGCATCCACTTAAATTCACTTGTGTACCTCAAATATGTATGAATAAGTAATAAGTACTTACCCCCAATGATTCCAACCTCTTTTTCTATATGTATTTTGAGTAGGGTGTTTTTCTTTTGTTTTTATTTTTCATTCACCCATTGATACATAAAGTAGCATACTATGACAGGTTTTGAAGCAAGCATGGCATTTACTTCCTAAATGCCTCCAGAAATGATAGTTGTAGAGGGGCTTCAGGCCTTTTGTTCACGAGGTTGCTATGAGTCATTCTCGACTTGAAGTCAAATCACCCATAGCAACAACATTTATACAAACTTATCCCCCTCCTTTTTCCTTCCCTCTTGAATAGGTTATAGTTACTTTTATCAGCCAACTCTATTTTGGGCATTGAATCATTATTTGGATTCTTTTTCAATTATTTTTCTTTTAAATACTGCCTTATAATTAAGTGTATACCTTTTACTAGCTCACTCATCTGGAAAGAAAAAAAACAAACAAATAAATAATGTTGCTCAAGAAAACGAAGTTATTCACATTTTTATATTTTAAGTTATATTAGTTTTTTAATTAGGTTATGGTTCTGGTTTTCTTTTGGGGGGGAGGGTGATAACATCAAGATCTGTTATACATTCTTAAAAGTCTTTTTTGCACTTAAAAATAAAACAAAAATTCAAGCTTTGATAATAACTGTTGCTAGGTAATAAAGTATTGTGGGTATGACCTTACTGAGTTCCTAGGGGAAGTCAGTGGTAATGGAAAAAATGAGCTTGCCATATTAAACACACACAAACTCTAGTATGTGTTAGTATAACCACTTTCCAGTAAAATCTCAGTGGAATTTAAAATGCTTCAAGGCCCAAAAGAATACATAGTAAGCAACTTGTTAATGTTCATAAACAGTAAGATAATGTGACTCAATGTAGGATCGAAGTGATAATTTAACAGCTGTTCTATTTTTCTGGAATGGAATTTTTAATTTTATTTTATTAATTTTAATTAACATTTACAGAGATTTTGGATTTTCATTCATTCATTGTTCTTTACCCCCCTCCCCCCAGTTTGCTCCTTTCTTTGAAAAGCAAAAGATAAACTTCTTAGTTATTTTGCAATTCCTCAACCCCCCACCCGCACCCCGGTGCGCTCAGCTATGCAACCTTAATTCTGGATTCCTGTGATAATCATAATATGCTATCATATATCAAACTGTTCTCTCCTTCATCTATTTCAATTCAGTATACATAATCTATCCACTTTTTCCTCAGTCTTACCCCAACACTGATGTCAGTCACGTTCTTCAACAGTCGCAGCATGCAGTATTTGTCCTTTTGTGACTGAGATATTTTACTCAGCATAATGTCCTCCAGGGTCACACATTGGAATACTGCATGAGTTCCTTGTGTTTTGATGCAACGTAGTATTCCATTGTGTGAATATACCACAACTTCTCTATGCATTCATTTGTTGATGGACATGTGGGTTGTTTCCAACTCCTAGCTATTGTGAACAAAGCCGCAATGAAATGGGTGTGCATATATCTGCTTGGATGTCAGTTATGGTCTTTTCAGGGTATATTCCCAGTAGTGCAATTACTGGGTCAAATGGTATCTCTATTTGCAACTTTTTGAGAAAGCGCCACACAACTTTCCACAGTGGTTGCACCATTTTACACTCCCACCCACAGTGAATAAGGGTTCCAGTTTCTCCATAACCTTGCCAGCATTCTTGCTGTTCTGTTAAATTTTGCTATTCTTACTGGGGTGAGATGATATCTCATAGTTGTTTTGATTTGCATCTCTCTTAGAGCTCAGGATTTTGAACATTTCTTCATGTGCTTGTTGGCCATCTGAATGTCGTCTTTGGTGAAGTGTCTGTTCATATCCTGTGCCCATTTTTCAGTGGGATTATTTACCTTTATCTTGCTGTGGTTCTCAAGTATTTTATTAATTCTGGATATAAGTCCCTTATCTGACATGTCATTATGAAATACTTTTTCCCAGACTGTGGCTTCCCTTTTTACCTTTTTGGAGAAGTTTTTGATGTGCATAGGGATTTGATTCTTCATCTATTTTACCTTCTCCTGGTTGTAGATTTTTCAGGATACTTGAAAGACTATGTTGTGGATTAGGACTACTGGGGTTTGTCCAAGTTTTTCTTTCATGAAGCTTATAGTCCTTGGTTTTAGTCCTAGGTCCTTGATCCACCTTGAGTTGGTTTTTGTATATTGAGTGAGGTATGGAATTTGCTTGAGTCTTCTGCAGATATTTTTCCAATTTTGCCAACACCATTTGTTAAAAAGGCTGTTGTTTCCCTAGTTAATTGGTTTCATCTCCTTGTAAAAAATCAGTTAACCATAGGTAGATGGGCTGATTTCTGGGTTCTCAATTCTATTCCATTGATCTATGTGTCTGTCATTGTACCAGTACCATGCTGTCTTAACTACCATGGCAATGCAGTAGGATCTGAAATCAGGGAATGAGATGCCACCTACCTTTTGTCTATTTTTAAGGAGTGTTTTGCTTATTCGGAGCTTTTTTCCATTCCAAATGAGACTGGAGATTACCTTTTCCATCTCGTTGAAGAATGGGATTGGTATTTGTATTGGGATTGTGGTGAACGTGTAAATTGTCTTTGGTAGTATTGCCATTTTCACAATATTGAGTCTTCCTATCCATGAGCAAGGGATATTCTTCCACTTCTCAAGGTCTTTTTTTGTTTCTTACAGTAATCTTTTGTAACTTTCTTTGAATAGATCCTTTGTGCTTCTGGTTAGATTTACTCCCAAGTATTTAATCTTGTGATTAGCTATTATGAAGAGTATTGTTTTTCTTCGCTCCAGCTCTATATTCTCTTTGTCACTGTACAGAAATCCAACTGATTTTTGTATGTTGATCTTGTATCCTGCTACTTTGCTGAATTGGTCAACTACGTCCAATAGTTTTCTTGCTGAGTCTTTAGGGTTTTCTAAGTATACTATCATGTCATCAGCATAGAGGGATAATTTTACTTCCTCGTTGCCTATTTGGATACATTTTATTCCCTTCTCTTGTCTTATTGCTATTGCTAAGACTTCGAATACAGTATTGAATAGGAGAGGTGATAGTGGGCATCCTTGCCTAGTTCCTGTTCTTAAAGGGAATGCCTTTAACCTCTCTCCATTGAGAACAGTTTTGGTCCATGGCACATGACAGTTATTAGCTAGATATAGAGGAGATACTATTTTTAATCATTTGCTAGGGAAATTGTACATAATTATAAAGCATGAAAGACAAAAGGTTACTATTAGAACAAAAGAATAAATTACCCTGAATTATACATAGACATGTTTATTTTTTTTAAATGGACCAAATAGACTGTATTTCAGTTACTATTCCTTCATAACAGGTTTCCCTAAAGCTTAGTGGATTAAAACAGTATCCATTTCATAGATTCTGCAGGTTATGATTGCAGGCAAGATTTTGGCTCAGTGGTGTGTCTATTCTGTAGCATCATCTGAGGTCATTTTGTGGGACTTAATTGGTAATATGTTTTCAGAGCTCCGAGATGACCTTACTCATCTTTTCTTATGCCAGTGTGGTAGTTACTGAAAGATTTGCTTCTGAACAGTCTTAGGTTACCTCTGCATGATGATGGTCTTCAAATAGTTGGGCTTCCATGGCTCTGGTTCTTCCAGAACAGTCATCTCATGAGAACCAGACAAAAACTTCACACATTCCATTGCTTGCTTTCAAATAGACCAGCTCAAATTCAAGAAAGGAATTAGACTTAATATATTGAAATATTATTATAATAATATTATTATATTATATTATATTATATTATATTATATTATATTATATTATATTATATTATATTATATTATATTATATTATATTAATTTAAAAGCATGTGTAATGCAAGCAACTTTGGAAAATATAATCTGTCACAGGTTATTGATAGGAAATACTTAATTTCCATGTAAAATAGAATGAATAGTGCTGAAATAAAACAATTGTATTAGAAGTGAGCTTATTTAGTAAAAGAAAACCATTTTCAGCTTTATCAGTAAAGCAAAATCTAATATATGTCAACAGCCCAGAATAAGAGATATATCATTGCAAAGAGGACTGGGGGGGGGGCAGCGGGAGGTATATAATTGTGCAAAAATGAGTGAATTTTTTTAAAGTGTACTGGGGGAAAGAGAGTGCAAGGATGTAAAAAGTACAACAATGAATGAATGAATGAAATCTAACTTCTCTGTAAATGTTTGTTAAAATCCCAATTGAAGTAAAACTTTTTTAAAAAAAATCTTAACTCTTGGAGGGATTGAAAAGGTATGGAGACAGGACACATTCCTGATGTACGCTTTTTCCAGTTTTGAACCATGCAGTGTTTCATTGTTCTGTTCTGAGTGCTGCTTCCTGGTGCAGGTGTAGATTTCACATGAGCACAATCAAATGTTCTGGGATTCCCATTCTTCTCAAGAGTCAGCCACAGTTTGTTGTGATTCACAAAAATGCCATTGCACTGTCAGTGAAACACAGATAGGCATTTCTCTGGTACTCTTTGCTTTTTGCTTTTGGCCAAGATTCATCTGACATTACTGATAATGCCCTGAGTATCACAATCTCTTTTAAACCCTCCTTATATTTCTGGTATTTCTCTGTTAATGTAATTCCAGTCATCGTTTTATCATCTTCAGCAGGATTTTGCTTCCATGTGTATTAGTGACATTGGTGTTGTTTTCTGCCATCAAGTCATGTGACTCATAGTGACCCCATGTACAACAACCATATGCCCTGCTCTATCCTGTACCAATTAGTGATATTCCACATTCTGTCAAGTCACCTTTTTTTTTCTTCCCAATGGCAATAAATATATAAATAAATATAGACCAGATATAGACCTCTTCCAGTCAGGTGACCAGGTGGTTGTACTCCAGGTTTCTTATTACAACTTGATGAGCTCATCCAGTGTAGCATCTGCTTGTTGAAATATGCCAGTTGGTATGTCATCAATTTTGGGGACTTTGTTTTTTGTCAGTTCCTTCAAAGCATCTTGAACTTCCTTAGTCTCTTGATATGTTGTTTCCCACAACTCTTCTTTGTCAGCCAATTCTTTCTGATACAGTAACTCTATGTACTCCTTTCATCTTTTAAAGAGGAAACATCTAGATGTTCTTACTAGGCTGTTAAGTTAAAAAACAAAGTAGGGAAATACATTTTACTTTTTTTTTTACATGTTGCTTTTTATATCAGAGAGAACTCTGGTAGCCTAGGGTAAGAAGCTACACTACTTTCCCAAAGGCACATGCTCCAAATCCACCAGCTTCTTGTCAGAAGACAAATGGGCAATCTCCCGGGCAGTTTATTGCCTCTGAAAATCCACGGGAGGGTCTGCTTTGAGTTGGTTCTGACTCAGCGGTACACAACAACAGTTACATAAGCAGATACACCCACACAAGCAAATTTATATATTTATTCTGTTCTTTATATATAATAAATACAAGTGTACACACGTACAGTGCTTTGACAGTCCAATTTGTGCTATTAAAGTTGGAAAAACAAACCTTTCTTTACGTGTTTATGTATAAGGGGAGAAATTTGGCAGAAGAGGCAGATAGGGAATGGAACATAAGACTTCCTTTTGAATATCTTTGTTTTCTGGATTTTACTTTGAAACTCTGAATATTTTATCCTACTGTGAAAGCAATAAAATATTTAAAAGCAACTTCTGAAAGCAGAAATAGTATGTAAGAAGGGATAAATTAACCTAACTTGTTATCCATTTGACAGCCTTATTGCCCATGAAAGAACTAGATGACTTAGAATACAATAAAATTTCTAATAGGTTTTTTTTCTGAGGATAAAATTAATTCCCAATAAAAATAAATTGTTCTTAGTAATCTTATCATCATGGTGGTGGTGTTATGTGGAAACTGATTAATAGTTAGGTTTTCAAGGCTATAAATCACACAGGAAGAGATTGCTCATCTTAGCTAGTGGATTGGAACTACCTGCCTTATCAGCTTATCTTCTCAGCTCTACTGTCTAACCACCAGGCCACCAGAGCTTCCTGTATCATGAGGATACTGTTAATAATGTTATTCTCAAACTGTTATGAGTATAATATGCTAAAAAAGGGATTCTAATTATTCTAATATTGGAATATTCTAACAACAACAACAACAACAATTATCTTTCATAAATAACTTAAAAATTATTGTACTTTCTTGTTGATTTGTTGCTGCAGTTAATCTTTGTAGCCATAAAACAGATTTGATGATGGTGACGGGCAGCTGCAATAACAGTCCTCCTTACTCTATGTCAAGCTATACAAATTCTCAGATAGGTTATTTCTATTATAAAAACCTAAAACTAAATCCATTGCCTTCAAGTCAGTTCCATCTCATGGTGATATTCCATCAGGTTTCCAAAACTGTAAATCTTAATGAGATCAGAGTGCCCAACAACTTCCACTTCTCACTTATTTTTTTTTGTCTCTGTTTTCTGTCTGTCTGTCTCACTCTGTCTTCCTCTGGGTGTGTCTCTCTATCTCTCTGCCTTCCCATCTCTGCCCATGTCTCTGTCTCTCACTGTCTCTTCTCTATGTCTCTGTCTGTCTTCAGTGTGTCTCTGTCTTCTGTCTGTCTCTCTCCCTCTGTCTCTCTATCTCTCTGTCTTCCTGTCTCTCTTCATGTCTCTGTCTCTCCCTTTCTGTGTCTCTCTCTGGGCACCTGCCTCTTCTCTGTGCATGTGTCTGTCCCTTTCTCTGTCTCTGTGTCTATCTTCCTCTCTCTCTGTCTCTCTCTCCCTCCCTCCCAGTGTGTGTCTCTCTCAGTCTTCCTGTCTCTGTCCCTGTGTCTGTCTATGTCTATGTGTGTCTGTCTCTCCCCATCTGTGTCTCTTTGTGCTTCTGTCTTCTCCGAGCACGCATGTCTGTCTATCTCTCTTTCCCTGTCTCCATCTCTCTCTCTGTGTCTCTACTTCTCTCTGTGTGTCTCTGTCTCTCTCTGTGTGTCTCCCTATTCTATACCCCTCTCTCTTCTCCTCTCTTTCTCTCACTGAGTCCTCCTCTGTGTGGGTGATTATCTCTGTCTTCCTTTTCTTTTCCCTATAATTACATTTTATTAATTTTCATAAACATTTACAGAGATTTTGGGTTTCCATTCATTCACCGCTGCACCATTCTCTCTACCCTCCACCCAGCTTGTTCTTGTCCAAATGCCACAGTGCTTGTCAAAGCCAGTTCTGATTAATCTCCTTTGTCAGTGTGTCCTTTGCCATTCCCTATCACTCCTCCCTGAGAGAGACTTCACCCTGAGTCATAAGGAAAAGGGGATGGCGTATTCTCTTAGCTACTTCCTGCTGAAAAGGGACGCTGTGGGTTTCAGAGTGAAGATCTTCTCTCACTACTCTAAAGGGCCCCTTTGGCAGTAGGAAACACATAGACTATTATGGAGATTGATTTTGGAATTTAGATGCACTCTTATTGATTGTGCTTGGCTGTACATGTTCATATCCTTGAAGATGTATCATGGGGGTGTTGCAACCTAGAAGACACATCATTTCGTATTAATAACAGTAATAAAAAAACCTAGCCAATATGTTGTGCATTAGTGACATATATCAAACAGAAATAAACCCTGTAGTATGAGTTGAGAATGATAGTAATACTGACAGTTATACACAAAGTTATGATTGAACTTTCTGGGCCATCACTCTAAAATTTTGATAGTTTTGTAATGATGTAGTCATTTTCCATTTTATGAACTGATATAGTTATCCACAGTTTGCACAAAACACCAATTTTTGCTTAATAATCTGTTATTAGAACCAAACTATGTTGTAAAGTAAGGAATTGATATATGTCTCAACAGTGTAGTTGCAATGTTTTTTGAGTGTTTCAAGTTTTTTATTAATGAACTTCATAGTTTCTTGGAAACTGACAAATACTATAAATCATAGTTTTGTATTAAAAATAGTTTAAATTGAAGATTGCTTTTGTATCTTTGTTACTGTAACATTTTGGTAATTTATAAATTATAAAATGAATTCAAGTAAATTTCCTTTTATTAATTAATTTTAAAGACATAATTACCCGTTGACTAAGCATGAGTTATATATTCAGGATGTAAGAGTAACTTATTAGAGTATTATGCATTCATTACAAGCCAATTTCCTTTTTAAATATAAACAGTAGAATTAACTAGAATCAGGGTTAAAAGGCAACTTAAGATTGTTGCTGCTATCCAAATTGTGGAAATTAACTGATTAAATATATGACCTTCAGTTGACCTAAATCTATAAATTATATCAATTGATTATATGACTTTAAAAATAGTACATGGAAAAATCTCTTATCTCAGTCACTTCTAACATATGGGACATTTAGAATTTTATTGATAAATTTAAAATTATATTTGGAAAAATGTCATACAGATTGCTATTTTAAGATTCTGTCCACACTTAATGAAAGATTATATATATCGTTAATATTTATCTTCATATAATTTGTTTCTTATCCTTCTTTCCATCAGAATACAGTCGTTTTGAAGCCAAAATACATGACTTACGGGAACAAATGATGAATAGTAGCATCAGTTCAGGTTCAGGTTCTCTTCGAACTAGCCAGAAGCGATCCCTGTATGTCAGGTAAATTCTTTTGATTCTAATCTGCCAATCATTAGTTGGTAATTTTGTAAATTCTTTCCTATTCTTTTATAGTGACTTTTACTATAGAAAACTTCATTGCAAATTAAGGAAATGTTTTTATCATTGATTTTCTTACAGTATTGTCTTTTAAGAGTTCCAGTGTTAAAAAAAAATTTAAAAAAAAAAAAGAGTTCCAGTGTTATTTTAAAGTTGTTAGTAAAAATTCATTACTGATGTCAGAGTGATCCTGGCTAAAATTAAAGAATACCAGAAAAATGTCTATTTGTGTTTTATTCATTATGCAAAAGCACTTGATTGTATGATCGACATTAAGACATTAATGATCAACATTAAGAAGAATGGGAAACACAGAAGACTTAATTATGCGCATATGAAGCATATTATCTTTACCAAGAAGCTGTTGTCTAAACAGAGCTAAGGTTTAAAATTAAGAAAAGTGCAATCCCAGAGGTTCATGGTTCAAATCCACCAGATTCTCTGCTGGAGAAGGAGAGACAATCTCAGATCTGATTTGATGGTACACACACACACAAAAAAAAAAAAATTCAGAGAAGTGTGCATCAGAGCTATGTCTTCGTTCAACCTGTATGATGACTAAATCATGTAAGAGGCTTGGCTCTAGGAAAAAGCATGTGGGATCAGGATCAGAAGAAGATTCATAGTCTGAATTTTGCAGATAACACAACCTTGCTTAATGAATATCAAAAACTTTTTCCTTTCTTTTGAATATCTATGTTTTATAATTTAAATATATTTAAGATACTACTATTAATTTTATTTGTAACTTATTAGAGACTTAATGCATAGAATCAAAGAACATCAGGTTGCACTTGTTTTAGGTTTATCTTTTAGGTTGTCTTCACTTCTTGTTATTAGTTTTTATATTTAAAGAAGTGTTACTCTATTTTTAAAGTTCTGTCTTAGAAAAAGGCTTACAGTGAAAAGTAACTTCTCTTCTGATAACCTTTACTTTTATCTCCAGAAACATTCATCTTCCATTTTCCTAGTTTTCCCTTGTCTTTACCTCTAAATTTCTAAGTAATACATCTTCACTAGTGTTCTTGACACTAATGTTCATGTATCACATACAAACAAAATGCTGCCAAAGATCATGCAAAAACAAATAGAGTAGTACATAGACAACAGCTAAAAGTTAATGCTGATAATAGGTGGATCCTGGCTGGAAGCAAAGAATACTAGAATTTCTATTCATGTTTTATTTACTCTACAAAGGCATTTTAACAGTGTGGATCATAATAAATATGGCTAACATAGAGAAGAATGGGAATCGCAGAACACTTAATTGTGCTCATTTGATACCTTAACCTAGACCAAGAGGCTATTGTGTGAACAGAGCAAGGGAACACTAATTACATTGTGTAAAATTAAGAAAGGTGTATGATAGGGTTGTATCCTTTCTCCATACCTATTCAGTCTGTGTACAGAGCAAATTATTCAAGAAGCTGGACTCTGTGAAGAAGAATGTGACATCAGTATCAGAGGAAGACTCATCAGCAACTTGTATTATGCAGATGACACAGTCTTGCTTGCTGAAAGCAAAGAGTTTGAAACGCTTGCTGCAGATGATCAGAAACTACAGTTTTCAATATGGATTGTTTTTGTTGTTGTTGTGTACCATAGAGTCGAAACCTACCCATAGCTGACCCTCTTGGGGTTTTCAGAGACAGTTAATCCCATGGGAGGATATTGCCCATCCTTCTCTTGCGGAGGAGGTGGTGGCTTCAAATCACATGCCTTAGTGGTTGCAATGCAGCTTCTTGCCGCTAGGCCACCAAAGCTCCCTTCTATATGGATTGCATCTCAATATCAAGAAGACAGTCTCACGATTGGACCAATAGGCAAATCATGATAGATGAAGAGAAGATTTAAACAGTCTACAACTTCATCTTACTTGGATCCACAGTTTTGGGACCCTTGGTACCAGCAGTCAAGAGATGTACTGCACTGGTAAAGTCTTAATTGAGGGACCTTTCCAAATTATTGACGAGCAGTGATGTCTGTTTATGGACATGGTATGTCTGATTCAGACCATTGTCTTTTCAGTCACTTGCCACACTTCTGTGAGTTGGACAGTGAATAAAAATGACAGAAGAATTGATGCCTTTGAGTTGTGGTGTTGAAGAACACTAGTGAATATCCCATGGACTGCCAAAAGAACAAACTTTTCTGTTAGAAAAGGTGCCAGTAGAGTGCTCCTTGGTGGCAAAGGTGATAAAGCACCTTTTCACTTGCTTTATGCTTGTTGCTAAGAGAGGGTATTCCTTGGAGAGCGAGATCATTCTTGAAAGGTACATGATCGACAAAAGAGAAGAAAACCCTCAACTGAATGAATTGACACAGTGATTGCATCAGTAAGTTGAAATATGTCAGAGATTGTGAGGATGGCACAGGATAGGATATAGTTCAAATCAGTTGATTGGGTCGCTGTGAATCGTACTTGATTATATCTAACAACCAGTGTTCTCTCCTTTGCCATCTTTAGTTACTTTACTGTCAAAAACAAAAATTTTTCCTTCTCATACCAAAACATTCTTCTTTTTTTTACTGTCCCTTAAACAAAACCATATCACAGTTCTTAAAAATAAGAGAATTACAGTCACGTGAGTATATAATATCAGTCATTACTCAGTGAAGTATTAACCTTATGACCTTGCTTCTTTTGCCTCATTTTATTTTGAAATTGTCTCATTTGCTTCTTTTTTCATATACTTAATACTGTTATCTTCTTTTTATCTTCCAATAACTTCCCGTGTAATGAACCATGATCACATGTGTCTAAGCCTATCATACCAGATAATCTACCATTCCAGATTCTTTTTTCTCTTTGCTACTTCAATCTTAACTAAGTTCTATCAGTCTCACATAAAATTCTTTCTTGCTATTATCGTGTACGGTATCCAAGTCTATTTTCTCATGCAAGTTCAAGCTGAAGCTGAGGAAAATTAAACCGAATCCACAGGAACCAAAATATGACTTTGAGTTCAGCCCACCTGAATTTCAGAACAATCTCAGGAACAGGTTTGAGGCCTTGAACACTAATGAACAAAGACCTAATGAGTTGCCTTGAACACTAATGAACAAAGACCTAATGAGTTGTTGGAGGATGTCAAATGTATCATCCAGGAAGAGTGCAGACA